TATTGAAACTCTCTCTTTTTATATACAGTAGAACCTCCATGAGTGGACACCTCTCTACAAAGGACAGTTAAGATTGTCAAAGTTACCATTTTTACTATTTAAAAAATCTCCGGTAAGAGGTCACTTCTTCATAAAAGACACTTTGGCTCTACAATTAGGTGTCCTTTACAGGGAGGTTCTACTGTCAATATATATTTATTAAACTAACCCCATATATAATATCCCCATATATGAATGTGTCATCCTAAAGCAGTTTCAATCTCCATTACTTCAACCTTGACGACCCCAGACAACACAGTCTGAGTGCGCTGTGTGTTCTAGGCTCGTCTCTACTTCACAGTCATAAATGATGTGATAAACGGCGTGAAGGAACACTTCATTGATGAAGGCCTTGATGAGCATTGCCTCCTGGAGCTCAAATCTGTAAGTAGCTTACACATTAGGCAACATCACATACGTCAGTCATTGATTCAAAGAATCTGAAGCTGTGGTAGTCTTAGCTGCAGATGAGGTTGTACCTAACATGGAGAACAGACATCTTAGCTTCCGATAATAACATGGACTGTCACAGCTGTTCTTCTTTCTTACATCTCCACTCAACAATCATATTAGGATATCAAGTCTGTATAGCTTGTTGATGGTGTCTGCTGGGGATGAGTAGAGTTCAACAATTGATTAGCCAATACAGTCAATGATGAGGTTTTGTTATGCCAGGTTGCAGATTTTCCGGGTAATCAACCTTGATTTCCTCTTTATTGGTATTGTACATGTTTACAGAACAGGTTTCTAAAATAAAGTTAAATTTTAAAAAGTAAATAATTTAAGTGATCTTTAAAAGTTTCTATGTATATTTATTTAATGTCGCTATCATAGTTTTTTTTTCTTGTAGTCTTCGTGTGCATAGCTCTTGCCTAAAATTAGACTTAGTACATAGTGGGGAAAACCTTGCAACCATTCTGGAAAGCCATTATCCATAGACCTAAGTCTTAAAATCAAGGACTGCTGTTTCCTTAGGAGGACAGAATTGGTTGGTAGTGGTTACTGGCACCACATAAAACTCAATGCCTGCAGGAATGCTGCACTAACGCTGCACATGACTGGTACAGAGCAGGAGGAACAAGCACCGGTTCTGTCTTCCAAGAGAACAACAGTCTTTGATTTCCAGACTTAAGTCTGGTCATCTAGGGACACTGACTTTCCAGAATGGTTGCAAGGTTTTCCCACGATATACTGTCAACCTGCAACCCCAAAACACATTATAGACTGTATTGACTTATCCATTGATGAGCTCTACACATCCGCATCAGACACCATCAACAAGCTTTACAAGCTTGATACCCTGATATGTTTGAGTGGAGATAAGAAAGAAGAAGACACATCCCCAGCAGACACCATCAACAAGCTCTACAGACTTGATACCCTGATATAATTGAGTGGAGATAAGAAAGAAGAAGACCAGTTAATCTCACCATTCACCCAGCATAGTTTGTGACTATTGAATTGAGTTTTTGTGAATTTTTATTGGTATAACCTTGCCACAGACTATAGCTTACTACATTGTTGATGGCTGTCTGTCCAGGACAGCTTATTCTTCTTCTTTCTTATCTCCCCTTAATCATATTAGGGTATCAAGCTTGTAAAGCTTGACAACCATGATGACTGGGTGAAATAGAAAGCATCTTCCTTTGTCATCTTCTTCTTTATTATCTCCACTAAATCATATTAGGATATCAAGTTGTGACCCTTGATGGTGTCTGTTTGACAACAATCATGACTGGGTGAAGTAGAATGTGTCTGCCTTTGTCATTAAGACTGGGAGCACTACTCAGTGGCAGGCCGACTTAGCTCCAATATGAAATGGCCATCTCTGACATGAGGAACAGACTCCATGTACAGCCGCTCCTAACAATGGAGTACAAATGCTGCTCATTCTGTATCCCTGGAGCCCTTACAGGGTACTATGAGCATGGTCAGCCGAGCCCAGGTTTTTTACGAGCTTATTACTGCTTCCTCTCCTTCTTTTTCATCTGGGCTTGGGACCGGAAAAGGCAGAGTTGGACAGTTTATTAGATATCGTCAGCTAACACTACCATATTGTCTGATTGGTATTCCACCACCATCCGTGCCAACCATCTGGTAGAATCCTCAGCAAGCAGGAAATAATAACAATGTTTGCAGAGAGTTGTTTGAACTAAAGGTTTCAAATGTGTGCAGCTCTGGGAGAAGAAACTGATGGAGAGTAAAGCCATAGATGCAGCTGACGTGGTCCGGCCTATGGCAGGTAAAAATGACAGAACCATGACCTATGTATCCACCCACACTATTGTTCCGATGTACTGTACTTTTCATTTTTCACAGGATTGTGGAGTTCAACATATTATTTTAAAAAAGCATTTAGAACAGGCCATCTCAAGCCATTGAAGATAGAAAATAACAACAAAATCTACCCCACTTGCCCAAAATGTAGCTTGGCACCTGCAGCTCCAGAACATATTTTGGCTTGCATTAGATGCACTAAACAGGACCTTTGGGAGAGGCTGCTGCATATCATAAAACAGCTGGAGGAGCATGAACTCATAGAATTCGTGTAATCTTTATGGAATGGAATGGGGTATAGGAGTGCAGCTTTCGTTGATCATGGCACCATGATCTAGGCACACTTTGGTGAAAGTCTGACTTTGTCTGTAATTTGAGGCCGTTCCTAACATGGAAGCCTTTGCTGCCAACTCTAACATGAGTACAGACACAGCTCCTTCGTATTCCTTGAGTGGGACCATTGCTGAGGTCCATCAACCGGGTCAGTTGAATTCAGGAATTTTTAAAGAGGGAGTGTCCCTCCTGGTTACAGCATCAAGTCTACCAGAACAAGACTTGATCGTTATAGTAGAAAAATAATTTATTAGTGTGTGACGTTTCGTCAACAGCATTGTCACCATCTGATGATGAGAAAAAATATCACAGCAAGTTCTTAACTAAGAACTGATGGTGACAATGCTGTTGCCGAAATGTCACACACTAATAAATTATTTGGATTAGATCTTATTTTCTTTTATTATAATCTACATTCCAAATTGTGCTTTATTATTATTATTTTTTAAAAAAATTATCCCTAGTACACACAGTTTTATTTGATTTTTTGATATTGATATTATACTGCTTATCCCTAGTAGACGTGGTACAGGTCATGATAATCATGGTGGGTAGAAATAGGCGACTGCTTTTACTGTAAGTTTTTTTTTTTGCTTATCCCTAGTACACGTGGTACAGGCCATGATAATCATGGTGGGTAGTTAGCGACTGCTTTTACTGTAAGTACACCACATGTCTACACATGTAAAAAGCAGTTCAACTTTGCACTTACAAATTTGCCAGAGCCCCGTTTGGTTACTTGCACTCGCTGGTATGATTGGACTTTTGCAAGAAACGGGGGCCATTGGAGAATTTTTTTTTTATAAAAAAAAGTGTAATGCGGGAATCGAACCTGGGTCCTAGTGGTCGAAAACCAAACGGTTTAACCAGCCTTCCACCGACCTTGCTTCATCATATAGTATAAGAATTTGGATTAGGTACAATTTGGACTATAGATTAGAAACTAAAGGTAATAAAAGCAAAGTCATCAAGTGTGTAAACAAGATAAGCTTTTTATCTGCTTGATAACTAACTATTTAAAAACATGCTGTGTTATTTTTTCTTATTTAGTCTTGTGTCTGATGATGGTAACAAGCTGTTATCGAAACATCACACAAGAACAGGAGAACAACCTATGATATCAAACACAAGGTAATAAGACCAAATTCAAATAAAATAAATAGTGTGTGACGTTTCAGTAACAGCATTGTTACCATCTTCAGACAAAAGTACTGAATGAGAAATTTTACCACAGCATGTTTTATATAGTTACTGTTATAATAAGGCACAATTTGGATTATAGATTTTAAACACAAGGTAATAAGACCAAATCCAAATAAATAGTGTGTGACGTTTCGATAACAGCATTGTTACCATCTTCGGACAAAAGTACTGAACACAAAGTACTGAAACATGCTGTGGTAAAATTTCTCATTCAGTACATTTGTCTGAAGATGGTAACAACGCTGTTACCGAAACGTCACACACTATTTATTTGGATTTGGTCTTATTACCTTGTGTTTACTGTTATCAAGTATGTAAACAATATAGCAGATAAGAAGATATTTTTCTGAGAAACCTTTAACTGTAACGATTTAAAATATGCTGTGATATTTTTTCTCATTGAGCACTTTTGTCTGAAGATGGTAACAACACTGAAGCGTCACACTATTTATTCATTTGGATTTGGTCATATTACCTTGTGTTTATAATTTATAATCCAAATTGTGCCTTATCAACTTATGATACCATCAAAATACTGGACATGAGAAAATGCTCTCTACCAACTTATGGCTGTTTGAGAAGACAATTCAAAACATTTTTATTGACTCCTAGACAATAGTTAAAGGAAAGATCTCTACTGTAATATGTATAACGACGTTTGACAAGTTTTACTGCAAATGTTTCTTTTGAATGGAAAATTGTAATTTATTTTAAGGAGAAATAACAACTATTTCTATTCTTAGGTATTCTTCTTTCTTATCTCCACTCAATCATATTAGGGTATCAAGTTGTGATCCTTGATGGTGTCTGTTGACAACCATCATGACTGAGTGAAGTTGAATGCCTTTGTCATTAAGACTGGGAGAACTACTCAGTGGCAGGCCGACTTAGCTCCAAAAGAAATGGCTACCTCTGACATGAGGAACAGACGCCATGTGCAGCCGCTCCTAACATGGAGTACAAACACTGCTCATCCTGTATCCCTGGAGCCCTTACAGGGTACTATCAGCCGGGCCAGCTGAACCCAGGTGTTTTACCGAGCTTGTTACTGCTTCCCCTCCTTTTTCATCTGGGGTTGGGACCGGCAAAGGCGGAGTTATCCTTAAGGATGAATTGTGAAAAGTAATGATATATAGAAAAATAAAAGTGTCCAGGGATGGGAATCGAACCCACAGTGTTCTGCTTACCGGGCAGATGCCATGTCCACTAGGCTACCCTGCACATATTTTTCTGTTTGTAGATATTATATAAAGTTAATTTATAATACAATATAATGCAGCTTATGATTGTAAAACAACGTTTGACTAGTGGACATGGCATCTGCCCAGTAAGCAGAACACTGTGGGTTCGGTTCCCATCCCTGGACACTTTTATTTTTCCGTTTATCATTACTCTTCACAATTCATCCTTTCATACTTCATCCCTAAGGTTAGAAATAATCGTTATTTCTCCTTAAAATAAATTACGATTTTTCCTTCAAAAGAAACATTTGCGGTAAAACTTGTCAAACGTCGTTTTACTATCATAAGCTGCATTATATTGTATTGTAAAGTAATATGTATGTTCATCTTTATTCAGTGAGGAAGGCTCCGCCAACTTGAGAGAGTCCTCCTCCAGACAGGGAGAGTCTCGAACCCTCCTTAGTTGTAGGAAGTATTTGTGAACACAGTTCTTGGCAGACTTCAGGATGACTAGAACTTGTATATCAGGATCCAGACAATCACTCTGAGATGTTGTAGCCATGTTGGTGCTAAGATATTGTAGCCAAACACAAGGTAATAAGACCAAATCCAAATAAATGTTTCACTGTTACCGAAAGGTCACACACTTGTATTTATAATCTATAATACAAATTGTGCCCTATTATGTTGTAGCCAAGTTAGTGCTAAGAATAAATAAGGCACAATTTGGATTATAGATCATAAACACAAGGTAATAAGACCAAATACAAATAAATAAATAGTGTGTGATGTTTCGGTAACAGCATTGTTACCATCTTCAGACAAAAGTATTTTGCTGTTTGCGTAACAATGCTGTTACGTCACACACTATTTATTTATTTGGATTTGGTCTTATTACCTTGTGTTTATAATCTACTAGCCGAATGACCCGGGCAACACCCGTGTTTTACCCGACTGTAGATGTTACAACGGTGATCCTTAGGTCGCTGGTTCAAATCCGGCTCGAGGGAGTTTTTTTTTTTTTTTTAATTTTTATTGGCTGCCAGCGAGCACGTGACCTCCCTGTGCGCGCGCATCCGTGACAGAGGCCGATGAGGAAAGACTGTCGTGACTATATATAGGGAATAATAAAATTGTGCTGTATCATGTTGTAACCAAGTTGTTGCTAAGAATGAAGATGTTGTTGCTATACCACGAGGTATGTGCAGGGGGCCTTCCCCACCAGCTCACCCTCCAACAGACTGCTGCCGGGGGAGCAGGGATCCCCACCCTCCTGCAGTACAGAGGGGCCGGGGCAGGCACCCAGCTGGTGCGACTGCAGGGAGACGCTGGCACCAAGACTGTCACCATCCTGCCTAACAAGGGGGGCATGACCATCTCCCTTCCTCAGGGCATCAACCCCAGCAACATCCAGTCTATCATGGTACACTACCTCTCTTTGATTATCTCCATCACATGGTAATGTTTTGGCAATCACAGGCTGTTTATATATACAGTAGAACCTCCTTGAAATGACACTCTCGCTAGAGGACACCTCTATAAAGGACAGTTTTCATCTGCAAAATTACTATTTTTACTATTTAGCAACTCTCCAGTAAGAAGACATCTCTCCCTAAGGACAGTTTGTCTCCGCAATTAGTTGTTGTCCTTTACAGGGAGGTTCTACTGTATATATATTATATTTAAGAATGATTTTCTGCCTGATTTTGGAATTATTTTTAAGATTGAGATTAAGATCTTGAGATTTGATATATTTTGGAATACATTAGTATTAGGTCAATGGTATTGGTAATGCAGTCGTGGCAAAAATCTTGAAAGTTTTTAATAATAAAAATAGTTTAGATCAGTAATAGCTTTAACACTTTGAGGACATTGGTTTCACAATAGCCCTGTGAACCAGGATAAAACTTGATTTTTTTAAAAAATCATATTTATAAAAATATATTACCTTGAATAGTGAAATTTGATGCTTGTATCAAAATATGTCTATAAAACACAAAAATGCAATAAAAAAATATATGTTTATTGGCACTTTTTCAAAATAAAAAATAAAAAAAGAACTAAAAAAATGCAAACTGCCAAAAAAAAACGCCACTGTTTGTAAAAAAAATAATCAGAGGAAATTATTAAAATTTTTACATTTATATACATTGTTATTCCCAGTACTTCATTTCTGCATGGTACTTTTCGAAGCACTCTCCAACGCAAAGTGGAATCTTGCATTGTTTGCACTCAAATCTGGTGTCCTTCCGGGCTGCCTTCCCAGTCTTGTGCTTTGCACTATCTGCACAAACTTTGCACCTTCTTTGCACTGCTTTTCCACTTTCTGGGGCTATTTTATAGCAGTAGTGCTTCCCAAGTAGCCTGGCAACATCAGTTTTCGAAGTTGTTTCTTTTTCAGAGTGTTCAATGCTTGCCTGATTGAGCAACTCCCCACCGACAGCCAGATAGAAGTCCTTCAGACTTATTTTTTTATCAGGATTTGCTTTATTGTAAATGATGTTGCCATTTACAAAACAAAGTGAAAAAAGATGGAAGAATATTTTTTTCCACCATTTCAATGTTTTCCTGCTAAAAGAATAATATGCCATCATCTGATCGCTCCGGTCCACTCCTACCTTCCCCTTGTTGTAATCTATGACAGCATCAGGCTTGAACAACTCTTCTCTGGTTGGGGTTTTGGGCTTGACTAGCATCATTTTACCTTCGTGGACAGTGGAGAGCATGAAAACATCTCTAACATCTTTCCATTTGATGGCTAAAAGATGCTTTCTTCTCATCTTTATAATCTCTCCTCTCTTTAGTTTTTGGGAAAATTTGGTTTTTGGCATCGTTTTCCTGGAAGGCATAACTGTGCCAACAGCTAGGGTCTTTTTTTCCCAAAGTTTATCAAATAACTCAGGAGAGGAAAACCACCTATCAAAATAGATATGATAGCCTTGTCCATAAAACCTCTTTGCCAGCCTGTCCACGAGGTTCGGAATGGAGTTGTGCTCTGGCTGCTCAGGATCCTTGCCAGTGTAGATATAAAGATTGTAAGCGTATCCAGATACAGCTTCACAAATCTGGAATATCTTGATGCCATATTTATGAGGTTTTCCTTTTATATACACTCGAAAACCCACACGTCCTCTGAATGGGCACATCGCCTCATCAATAGTGAGATTTTGCTGAGGAGTGTAGGCATTCCCAAAAGAATATATGAGGGATTCCAAAACTGGTCTTATTTTGAAGAGTCTGTCATGCCCTGTGGTTTTCCATATTCAATGTATTTTGAATTGTCATTCAAATGTAGCATTGACAAAATTCTCATAGTGTCCTTGGCATATTTATGGACTGGCAAAAGGCATTCTTCAGGAATCCGTGAGTAGACCAGTAGTCTTTCATCCCAGGCTTCTTCACCAAAGACATGTGTATGATGACACAGAAAAAGAGCTTTATCTGTGCCACTGACACAGCCTTCCACTTAGCCAGCATGCCATGAGGCTTGAGAGGACCCTTCTTGGACTCCCGATCAATAATACTCCTGGCATATCGGTTTGTTTCCTCTTTGATGCTTTTGAAAATATTCTCTGTAAAGAAGAGACTGAACGCATCAAATGGTGAGGAAACATCCCCCACTAAATTTAGTCCAGGGCGGGCGGTGAAAGGGGGAGAAGTTGGGGGCGAGGGATCATCTTTCCTCCAGGTGCCGGCGGCAACATTGGAGCCAGCGGCGGCAGTGGACGTGTCCCGACATGTCGTCAGCATGCGAACTGGAGCTACTTCTAATCGTGGCCGTTTAGCAGGAATTTCTTCCCTTTCTTCCTCCTCAAATTCTAATTCATCGGAGGCTGAATTTTCGTAATCAGGATCCTTCACTTCATCATCAATTTCTGAGCCAGAATCGTAAAGATATTCAAGAATATCTTGAATGTCTTCATCTAAATGAACTTCTGATCCCAAACCTTTTGAAGTGCTAGGTTGATCCAAAGGATTCATTTCAATAACGTTATGAAATTAGAGGCAAAATAACTTAGAAAAAAACGAGCGAAAAGAGATTAGAGATAACAAAAACAAACTTGCCTGTTATCAGTTTGTCAGCAAGCTAGCCAATGAGATTGAGCAACAGATGACTAATTTTTTTGCCTGCCAACAGTATCGTCCTGACATCTAGTGATCATTTTTGTAACTAGTCATGATAGGCCGATGATTTGCCGAAGAGATTTCTTGACGTACTGCGTTCTATGATTTTCTATTGATTTTTAAAGTGCCGCAACGTATAAAAACGGGGTTGGTCCGCTAGGCTTAATAGCTTATGACGTATAAAAATGGCGTTGGTCTTCAAAGTGTTAATTGATCTTGTTGAAGTTTGAGATTGAATCAAGGAATAAAAGGATTATTTATTAAACAAAGTAACTTAAAACAAGATGTTAAAGTAACAACATTTTAAAGGCAAGTAGATATAGGAAGGCGAGGGACAAAGACTAAATATCTTGACGTCGACCGCAGCGCCGCCGCGGCCGTTGATTGGTCGATCCTCCAATGGTCCACGCCAATCTTTGGATCGCTATTCCAACACTCCCTCTCGATCCAAAATGTTCAGTAGACCTCTTAAGTAGTGGAATTTGTTTCGTGGAAGAGGTTTAGTCATTATATCAGCTAGCTGTTCTGAGCTGCAAACATGATGCACTTTAAGTTCACCTTCTTCATGTTTGGATCTAATGAAGTGGTAGCGAACATCAATATGTTTCGTTCGTTTGTGGAATACTGGATTTTCAACAAGTTTTATTGCTGCTTGGTTGTCGATATAAAGTTCAGTTTCTTTAGTAATATCACAGCCGATGCCCTGTAGAAGTCTTCTGATCCAAATCAATTCCTTAGCAGCACTGCAGGCAGCGATGTATTCACTTTCGGTGGTTGAAAGTGCGATAATTGGTTGTCGTTGGCTTGCCCAAGAAACAGTTCCTCCGTTCATCATGAAGGCATAACCAGTCGTACTTTTTCTGGAGTCAACATCACGAGCAAAATCACTATCAGAGTAGCCAACAAGTTGGTCTT